CTATAAGTTAGCTTTGTTGACAATGGTAAGCATACATTTATATCTGGGTTTCCTTTCTTCATTTCTTTTGTACTGGGTTTCAGAAAGATTAAAAGGTACACTCCTGCCATCTTCCTAGAATAATCCAGCCCTCCTGTTCACATTAGCCTGTGACTGTGACCTAAACTCAACCGTTTATAAACATTGTATAATTAACCTCATTTGACCTGTGCCTGCCAGGAAGAGTTTACCTCATCTTCGTCAGAACTTTTGAACCTTATTGCCACACACTTTATGTGAATGTGTGCCTATGTTATATTGAAAATGACATTTGATTTCTCACTACTGCTGAGTGATACTTATTCCTATACTGGGAATAAGACCATGTTTACTATATTTTATTATCATCCAGTAGACATTTTATCCACTAGATTAAACCCATGAGTCTTACACAAATGATATTACAATGAGAAAACATAGGAAAATTCCAAAACAATCAGCTTAGAAAGTTGTGAATGATGAAAATGTGGTGAATGAATAAAATGATAGAGAAAAATTCCACATGATACTTAAAAGCCTGAAGTAATGAAAGATAAGAGTGTTGAAAGGGATGAAAATTTAGCTCAGGGGCAGATTGTTTTGCTGGAAGTGTAAAAGCCAGTGTTCAGTCCCTGATATGACAGTGATTTTACAAAAGAAAGAAAGAATTCAGGTTGAGGAGATGGCTCAGCAAAGCTGGATTATTCTAGGAAGTGTGAGTATCTGCAAATCCCCAGAAGTGTCATAAAAATCAGGATTAACAGGTCTGCTATCTCAGGAGTCCTATAGGGAGAATGGGGATGGAGAAAGGAGAAACCCCAGAAGTCCATGGGGCGCCTAGCCTGCCATATGCAGCAAGCAAAAAGCAAAAGAAGGACCGTGGTCCCAAATGAGGTGAAGATGACGACCCACACCTGAGGTTGTCTGAAGTTATTCTTGGACCTCCAGGGGCACATAGCATGTGCTGCTTTCACACACAATAATGAAAATGTTACATATACACACACAAACACAATACATAAGAATATTGAATTAGTAATAACTATTAAATAGTAGCTATTAATGTTGTTCTGTAATGGAGTACAGTGGTTTGCATTTGAAATGTATCTACAGGTTCATTTTGTTCAATGCTTGGTCCCCAGCTGACAGTGCTATTTTGAGACACTCTAAAACTTTAGGAGATATTTCCTAGCTGTGAGATGTGATTCCCTTGGTGCATGCATTTGAAAGTTACACTTGCTCCCTCTTCCTTTGCCGTTCTCTTTGCTTCCTCTGTGCCAAAAGGTGAACAGCCCCTTCCAGCACTTTCCCCCACTGCCATGATGTCTGCCTTGTGATGGAGCCAGAAATGGTGGCATCAAAGACTGGACTGCAACCTCTAAAACTATTAGCCAAAGTGAAGCTTTTCCCCTTGAAGCTGTTTGTTCATGAATATAGAACACAGCTGTGCAAAAGCAGCTAACATACTCTCTGTGTATGTTGTCTGATTATAGATGATGAGAGTATCTAATATGTTGGTGTGTATATTTTTAGTCAACTTTCCATTGCTGTAATAAAACATCTAAGATAATCAACATACAAAGAAAAAAATTGGGGCTGGAGAGATGGCTCAGAGGTTAAGAGCACTTGGTTGCTCTTCTAGAGAACCTGGGTTCAATTCCCAGCAGCCACATGGCAGGCAAAATACCAATGTATGTAAAATAAAAATACATAAATCATTTAAAAAAGAGATAAAATCTCCTTGGACTCATGGTTTTGAATGTTCCATGGTGTAATCGCTGTGACTTTAGGTCTGTGGTGAGGCAATATATCATAGCAGTAATAACTAACAGAGCAAAGTAACTTCCTTCATTGGGAGGATACAAGGAGGATGAGTTCCCATCATACTTTTCTAACCAAAGTTATCAATGGCCTGAGGCTCTCTCTCAAGGTGCCATGACTCTACCACTTGCTACATCATCTCTTAAAGGACGAGGCTTTTAACACATGGATTTCAGGAAATATTCAAAATCCAAACAGTAGAATACACTATGACAGGAATACTACATACTTGTTAGAAATACTAGCATAAAATCAGTGAAAAGGGGGCTGAATTTGTGTATTTTACTAAGTCTTATAAACATAGCTATAAAGGACAGGATCATGAGAGGAAAGATGAAAGGTTTGATTCTTAATCTCTATCTTTCTCATGTGAAACTTAATGATTGTAAACTAAAAAATAAACAGCAACTTTTAAAATTAAAATAATCTGAGAAAAATACACATGGAATTTATTTTTCTATGCTGGTTACAATGTATGCTTATTTTGGTTGTCCTAAATATGTTCTTTAAAAAACTTTATGAAATGTACATACTTAAAACTCTGTAATTACCACAGAACTTGGAAAAAACATTATAATAATTAATTATAGTAGTTATAATTCAGTTGAAAATATAACAATTACAAGCATCAAATTTTCACTTTTTAAAATTTTAATAATACTTGCATTTATTTGTGTGTGTGTGTGTGTGTGTGTGTGAGAGAGAGAGAGAGAGAGAGAGAGAGAGAGAGAGAGAGAGAGAGAGAGTTTATGCAATGTGGAGATCAGAGGACCACTTTCTGGAGGGCTGTAATCTTAAGTAAACATAGACTTGGAGAGTTTTCAGTTACCCTTACCTCCTTTAATTCACAACTCATGTTTCAGCCCAAAGAGAAGGCATTTGTTCTGGGAACTAGACTTGGTCCTCTTCTCTTCATGTTGCCCAGATATTCACTGTTTGACAACTTTTTGTCTTTATGATAAAGAAGAAAAGTAAATAAATAAACAGAATAAAACCCCTAGTCCTTGTTCAGTTTCAGAAGATAAAGATGACTTAATAAAAAGATACCAAAGGGTGTAATAACAAGAAATTAAAAACACTAGATTTTCCTATAACAAGAGCATCATTATGAATGAAATGTCCATTTGGTGGTTTATGTAGCTGAAAATAGAATTTAACTAAATTTGATAGGAAGCCCATGTCACCTTATTTTCCTGGACAGTAGGGTGAAGCACAGTGAGACAGTCTCAGGGGCTTGAATGACCATTCCTGATCCAAGTGCTGTAATGCAGGACCAGAACAGGAAAGTGTAACTATATGAACCGAAACTGGAGGAGGACAACTGTTTCACTGATAAGAGGAATGAATTTGGAAAGACAACCATCAGGGAGAGAAAGAGGAGGAAGGGGGAAGGAAATATCCATGAATTACAATGGAATATCACGTGTTTCAAAAAAGAATCAAAGTCTCTGATTTTTAAAATAAAGCATTTTCAGTTATTCTTTCTATTAAGCACAAAATTAACAATTAGATTAGTAATAGAATCAAAGGAACTATTGTACACACAAAACTTGTGTCTCAGATAACATGCCATGTGTCAGTGCCTAGTTCTCTCAGATGATTGCAAATATTGTGTCCAGTGTCCTCAGATACTTGTCAGTGAAATGGGCTCTGCATGAAAAAAGGCATGTGGCAATCACCATTTTGATAAACATATCTGAAGAAGATTAAGGCCAGAAATGTATAATTGGACATAAGGCATTGACTCACTCTTAATTGATCATTAGGTTTTCTAATCTTTCTGTGAAATATATCCTGTCCAGTGAATAGATTAAGAGACAGAGCTCAAATGAATTCCATTCAATCTTTGTTATAATAACTCTTCCAGCCAGCCTGGTCCGAGTGCTGTGTCAGCCCCAAATAACACACAAGACACTCTATTAATTATAATCTGTTGGCCGGTGACTAGGATTTCTTATAGGTTATCTCTGTCTTAAGTATTAACCCATAATTACTAATATATGTATTTCTACATGGTCTTATCCTAAGAGACACCAGACGCATGTCTCTTCTCCATCAGTATCACATGGCAACTTCTTACTACACTTGCCAGAATCATCCTTGTCTCCTAGTCCCACCGTATCTTGTTTCCTTATTGGCTAACAGTGTTTTAGTCATCAACCAATTAGAGAACATATCTACAGAAGCCTTCCCCCATCAAATCTTTGGAATCTCAGTACAAAAATCATGGCATGAATACATCTTGGCATCTTTTTGAAATAAGAGACACATTATTGCCATACTCAAGATTCCTACTTGACATAGAAACAGAAGAAGAAATGGAAGCTGGAGAGATGGCTCAGCAGCTAAAAACACTTTCCATTCTCTAGAGGACCAAGTTTGGTTCCCAGAACAAATGCCTATAACTCCAACTTCATGGGATCTGGCCTCTGTGGGTACACATAAATCAGCCCCATCATATAGACACTCCCCAACACACACACACAAACACTTAGCAAAAATGAACTTTAAAAAGGAACAGTTGGAATGAGCTTGGATTTTGTTTTGTCACTTCATTTTCTGTGTAAAACACAGACTACAGAGTTTGTTTTCTGTTGTATGCCTTTCCTAACCCTAGCCGTCTCATGAAAGAATGGGCCACGTCCAAGAAATAATATTAGTTCCACATTTAAAATTACAAGTACTATTTGATAATTTATAAGGCTTACTTATTGGAGAGACACTAGAATCAAGTTTATAAATCAATTTTTGTGTAATTTTGTTTTTCTTAAAATTAAACACTCTATGAAAACATAAATGATTTCTTTCAAAAATCTTAGCTTCAGTGCCTGTCATCTTCAAGTATCCAGGAGTCATATTTTTTTGCAGTATTGTAGGTAATTAACATGGTAAATAATATCATGCACATAGTGACCTATAATGTGAGCTGTAGACATTTGGTCGTAGTTATAAACCAGTTCACCAACAGTGGGAAATTATGACAGTGAAGTAAACTGTGGGAGAGTGGGCAGGGACTCTATTTTTCTTCTGTTTTGCTATGAAATTAAAAATGTTATTAAAATAAATTATTTATTTAAAAGGACACACAAACCTTTATTTTTGTTTATGAATATTTTGTGAAATCATCATGTTATTTCAGAAACCATCTCAATAATTTTATTCATAGTTGTTGAACTTTAGGCAATTAAGACCTTACTATACCAATTTCTATAGTGTTTTTTGTTGTTGCTATGAGCTTCATTTTCAATTTCTCTATTAACAGATAAAGGTGATCTCTTTAGAAAATTTCTCAGTTAATATTACTTCTAAACTGTCCTGGTAACTGTCTCTACCCATCTTTGTAAAAATATGAAGCACACAGTGTTTATCCTTCCAGGAATATTACATTTCATGCTCCACACTTGTGGGGAAATCAGCAACAAACCACTCACCCATTTGTTTGCTTAATAGAAATTTTCGGTCAATGGGACTGGTGTCTGGAGCCAGGAGGGCTTGGTGGCACTGGGCTTTAGCCAAACATTTCAAACCATTTCCCTAAATGTTTCTGATGCAGCAAAATACAAAGCTGGCTTTACCAAGTACTTTTTCTCTTTAATTTTTTAATTTGTGCACATTGAGAGGGAAATGTAATCCATCTGTTTAGTTGGCATGTAATTCGACAAACTATTGTTTTGTAAGAGAAATTCGATGTTCAGGAAGCTTTGTGAGCCTGTCTACTCTCTCCACTAGAATCCCAGAGAAGTGGAGATTTCTAAAAACACATGGGCAGCAGTGATACAAAGTACCAGGTACCATAGGTTTAGTAAAAATTATTATTGTCTTAATACTCTATAGCCTAGAAAATTTTGTCTAGTACCATCGAAACATTAAGTTAATCTATGGCCTAGTAGATTTAGTTATTAGACTTTTGTTTCCTGTTTCTTGATTTCTTTTCAATTCTTTATAATCTCCACTCTCTCTAAGAGCTGTGGTACATGGTTCCCAGCCTATATAATTTCTTTCTTCCATGCTCTTAGCATCAAAGTTATGTTTTTCTACCAAAAGCTTTGATTACCTCTAAGTGATTCCATTTCTCAGGGGCTTGACTTTGAGTGCATGAGGACATGCTTGCAGTGTCTGTATAGGAGTACGCCCCAGGCATATTCCATATCACTAACTCCACAGAGTTATGGTAGAAACTGCATTTGAAAAGCTTTGTAGACTCATAAATTTTGGAAATATTGGGTTAACGGAGATTAAATGGCTTTCTTTACTTCAGGATTCTGAGAGCTTGGCTATTTTATGGGCACTGTACATCTCTTAGACAGAGTAGCATATGTAGGGCTAAAGAACTCTCTTCTGCAAAGGGACAGGCTTTCGGGGGAATATCCAGCTAAAGTAGAGCTGTGTGAGAAAAGCTTGAGAAATTCGCCTTCCTCCTTGCATTTATTTCATTACACTGCGGTATCTAGTGTCTATTGTCTAAAGACAAACAATAAACCCCTTCTTTTAAGATATAACTTAATTTTCTTTTCATTAGAGAAAACAAGATTGTTCTGTTTGACTGAAGAAAGAAGCTGACCATCAATAGACAATATGAAGTATTAAAGACTGTTTTGCAACTACTTGAATGGAAATTCCCATTTGTAGGCTTTGTGGGTTATGTGACAGCTTGGATTGAAGAACTGGGTTCTTTGATTAATTTCCCCCCAATTGTGCTGTGAGAGGAATCGTTTTAATAAGACAATCGTGTGAGAATTGGCTCACATCTACCAGTAAACTCAGAAGCAAGGGAGTAGAAAAAAAAAATTGGATAGCCTCAAGGTAAAAAGAAATAATTTGGAAGCATTGTGGTAATGCAGAGTTCTTTTTTGTCTCTATTATTCTATTCATTTAGCTCTCTTTGTAAACATCTGAGTTTACAGAATTTTGACATTAACTCCATTTGTTTTCCTCAATCATCCTGAGGTTATCCTCTCTAAAATGGCTCTTTGGTCTTTGTCTCAATCCCTATACCTCATTTTGCTACATTTTAAGGACCCCCTTTTGGAGGTGAGTGGGTGAAGAAACCACTTCCAAAAGCACCCAAAAGAACAGCTGCAAGTCTTGTAAGAGTTTGTATAAATCATATAATTTAAAGTACCAAGTGACCTGTTTTGGTCAAGGTGTTTGTCTAGGTCATCAGTTCTTGACTCGGAGAAGAGAAGAAATACCTTCAACCTCCCCTCCCCCACTTCAGGTGAGGCAATTCTACCCCAAGAGTGATCCTTTTTCTCTTGAGAAAAGACTCCTGGAGTCCATGTAACTGTACATCCAAATCACCTGGATCAGGTATGATCCATACCGTTCATTCTTTCCTGTGTTCCCTTTTCCTGGTTTGTTCTAGAATAGTCCATGAAGAGGCCCTTTTCCATCAGCTTTACTCTGCAACTCCTGAAGTTATTCCTGTTAACAAATAAGGGGGGTCATAAAGAGTTAATATGCTTTCATTCATTCTTCTCTGTCTCTCCCTCCCACTCCTTCCCTCTCTCCTTCTCTCACCATGAAACATTTTTGTTTTTTATTTGCTACAATGAATTCATGTGTGGATTCCTAAGTCATCCATGAGGCTCTCAACCCCTCATCTGTTCATTAATAAATGTACTCATTGATTTAGCAAGCATGTATTCAACACCTACTACACAGAGATTAAATAGTTTCAAAAGTTTCTCAATTTACAAACAAGTGAAAGGCACTGCATGTTTCCTCCAGAGGACTTCCAGGGGAAATGTAAACACCAAACACCATGAATACTCAAGGCCACAGCAGCATTAATTATAGATTTAACTCATTTAAATGAGATGGTCTTTTCTTGGGCTAGTGTAATATTCACACAATTCTTGGATTAATATTGGGTCTAGAACAATAGGAAACCACCATTTGTTCAAAAAGAATGTTGCAAAGAGAAAGTTCAACCAGTATTCCCTTGACTTTGGCTTCTGATTTCATTGTCTTGTAGCTTGGGAGGTTAACTGTTATTGTTGTCCAGGGGACTATCATTTTGGAAAGAAGTTTTCTTAGCATTAAAATGGGAGAGATTATAGATATAACCCATAATAGAATTAAATCCCACATTGATGCATACTTCAATTCTGTTTGTGTTAGTGAGGAAAAGGACATAATTTTTCTAAAGAAGTTTCAAAACAAAAGAATTTCCCCTTTCTGCTGACACCACTGGTTGTCTAAGCATTGCAGTTCAGTGCTTCTCCTGATATTTCTGCTTTCATTGAATCTCACAGTAAGTCTTACCTGTATTTGCTTTCCTTCTGTTTTTATATTAAATGAATGTGACACAGACTTTACTTAAACCATTTTTCCTCACTCTAACCTAACAGTTCCTCAGGTTGAAGACATTGAGAGCCATCCCTGACTTTGTTCTATATCTAACCTTGGAACCAACTTGTCCGGTAGACTTTTGTAGGACATTTTATTTTACTGGTCACACAGGAATTCTTCACACTAAGAAGAGCAGAGATTCACAACCGTAAGTAAATAAAATGATACTGACAAAGTGATCAAAACAAACCTGAAATTTGCCCTGGCTTGGTGGTTCTGTGGAAGCATGGTCATCTGATGGTACCCAGTATATCTCAAGCCTTATCTTGGGGTCGGTTCCCTGTCTGAGCATGTGCTGTTCGAGTAGAGCGAGGGATGCAGGCGGATTCCAGGTCTACTGAAAGGGACCTAGCCCGTAAGTTCTTGTTTGCCTGAATTACTGGAGGCTTCTCTCTACATCCCGTTTGATACCCAAAGCCGTCCTTCCTCTTTGCAAACCACTATAGTGATCCTTCAGAAAGGAACTTGGAACACACCACTCCACCACTTGAAACTTGGCTTCTCTCCTGTGATAGTCCAAAACGCCTCAACAGTCCTCAGCGTCTGCTTCCTCCCTTTGCCAGTTTCGTCTACCATAACGCTGTCTCTTGTTCCACTGTTGTTGGGTTACTGAAAGCTGTCAGCAGAAATGTATCATTTGCTTGCCCCCAACTCATCTCCTTTATGGAAATGTTCAAAGGTACAGCCTTCTCTGACAAACACATTGAAAACCAAAAGCATCCCTCTGACTTCTAGGTTGTTTTTCTCCAAATCACTCTTAGCCGTCTCAAGTACTCTGTGCCTTACTGACTTCTCCTTGGTTGTCTGTCGTCTTCATTGATTGCAGCCTCTGAGGAAACAAGCTTTGATCTGAGTTTTATGCCAGCCCTGTACTCCTTACTGCCTGCTTATGAGCCCAGAGCAGATCATAGATTCTTCTCTGAAAATGTCGAGCACTCATTTGAACTCCCAGCTTAACAGTGCAGGAGTCATTTCCACAGACATGTGTTGTTTATAAAAATAACATCTCATTTTCTGTTACCAAAGAAGTGCTGAGTCTAAGCAAATGAGCACACTATAGGGCTGAAGTGAAATTAAGGACAATGTCCCCTAAATTAAAAACACAAATGACATTGCTTTTAACTTTTAGACATTAAAGCTGTATAGTGTAAGCAGCTCAACTGTAAGTTATACATCAAGACACTGTGAGATAAGGTTCTCAAAATACTGGCTGTGGGACAGCTTCCAGTGTTTGGATATGGCTTCCCCCTACCACAACAGGGAAAATTTCCTGGAGAATTAAGCTGTGAAGTGCCCATGTATGTATCTATGTGCATGTCCCAGACATCTCAAACTCACACCAGAGGCTGTCACTCCATCTTCCCCAGGTGAAAGTGTGACCCCATTAGAACCCTTGTCTTATGAGAAGGGAAGAAAAGGAAGAATGAAGAGGTCATGAGGGAGCAGAAAGGTTGAGTCAGGTGTAGATTAGAAGAAAGGATATGTGATAGGTAGGGTTTTAGTTGGGGGGGGGTTAGGGGAGGAAGGGGGGGAGAAGGTAACTGAGATTGTCATGTAATTCAATCTTATTTGTAATTCAAATAAAAAAAAAGTCAAAAAAAAAAAGAACCCTTGTCCTATCAAGTGGCAGGTACCCACTTTATACAAAAAGAACACCAACAGAGAATTAGAAACCGGGGTGGGGGCATCTTTAATTCCTTTGCCTCAGCTTTAGAAACCATTTAAATATCACCCCTCCCCAGAAAGCATGCATATGTCTGTTTACTTACTTCCATCATCGCAAACACTTCCCTAATAAAGACTTTCTGAAAATCAAAACCTCCAAATGGGTCACATGATTTTCATCTCCTGGAATTTCATGTTTGCTACATGACAAACTGACCTTTCAAAAATGCAATTTATGTGGTTGTCCGCATTGGTGATTTCCCATTGTTTTAAAAGTGAAATCCTTAACTGCCTTGCAGCGTCATTCATATCTGGCCCCAACTGTTTTCAGCCTGAATTTTCACCACTTTGCCCCTCATAGGCTGTTAGTGATAAGAGATGTGCCCTGTGACCTTCATTTTAAGACTCTCTGGGCTAGAGATGGGCTAGAACACATTCTGTACTTCCACTTTGCATTGTGGCAGCCCTTTGTATTCTTCTATGAATTCTTTTATAGTAGTTACTCCTGTAACTATGTCTTTCTCACGTCTGATAATGCTACTGAGGGTTATGTGCATCAGGCTCTCCTCTAAGTCAGACACTTTCACAAACCATTCAGTATGCAAACACCCAATGAAATAGATAGCTTATGATTGAAGGAAGTGAAACATGGTTTTCCATTCAAGGTTACATCCCTGAAATCGGATTTGAGGTCTGAAACTGTTCTGTGTCCAAGAAAGAAAACAACATTGCAGGCATACTTTAACAAGCAGTTTTTGCTTGAAATGTATGTAAATAATTTTCTAATTTAAAAGGCAATAATAGGGGTTGGAGAGATGCACCATGGTTAAGAGGACTCAGTACTCTTTGGAAGGTCTTGAGTTCAATTCCCAGCACCACATGGTGGCTAATTATTGTCTGATGCTGTCTTCTGGTGTGCAAATGTACATGAATACAAAGTACCCATATACATAAAAACACATAAATAAATAAATCTTTAAAAAAAGAAGGCAATAACAGAAACCAGAATCCAAATGAGAAAGACTTGGATTTTCCTTTAGTTCACAGTCTGTCTGTACTGGGCCCCACACCCTGCCACAGTACAATCTGCTTACAAGGGGAAGACACTTTTAGTTTGTCTCCATGATGGAATCTACTCTTCCTTATTACACTTCTTTGGTCACTGCGAGAATCAGTGTGTGCTGTCACAGTTTAAAAACTCTTTGATACTGAGGACTTTGCCCATTTTAGTTTCATGTTTCCCAATGTCAAGTGCAGATTCCAAACAACATGAAGTTGATGGACAGCAGACTGACGAGAGATTGGTGACAACGAGAAGATACACGTATATAGGAGGAACCTCATCAGAATCTCCTACACGTATGTTTATCGGGGCAATATAATTATATCCAAGGTTTTGAAACTAAGGACTCCTGAAGTTTCTCTGTTCAGGAGACAATGACAATTCTTAGCTATATTATCTTGTTCTTTTAAGTTAAATCGTCCTTGCCAATTCTCATATTTACTCTATCATGTGAGCAACAGGCTATTACCAAATCAATAGGCACATTTTGTGAGTAAAATCTATCTGAATATAGCAAAAAAAAAAAAAAAAAACCCAAAATTCTTAAATTTGCCTTATGAGATTGTCCATGCTGGTGTTATGGCAACAACTCTGAACAAATGTTACAAAGTTTAGTGAATTTGGGTTTTCCACACCATGAAGAAAGAGCAAGCTCTGAAATTCTGTGTGGAAAACAGAATTTCTTCTTCCCACTAGAAACCAATTAATATTGTAAAGTCTGTGTTTATGCCTCTATAAGCTGTAGAAAACCCTTGCTACCTGTGCTCAGAAGAATGTTCTGATAAATAATGAAGTCATGTCTAAAACACACTATATAAGAGCAAAGTGTAATTATGATATGTTTTCTGATTTCCATTAACTTGATTCCCAGTTTCTAAGAAGTCTGTAATAACTGCCTGGCAGTCTAATGCTTTTTTTTTTTTTCCATACCCTCTTGGGGGCGGGGCATTCAAACAGCTGCTTTGAATGCTACCTGTGAATATCTAACATTCCATATGTGTAAACTTCTCATGTATAGTCTCATAGAATACATCCATGGAAACAAATACATGAATGGTACAAGGTATTTCTGTAGAGAGGGAGGGAGGAGGGAGAGGGAGAGGGAGGGAGAGAGAGAGAGAATGGTTTTGTGCACAAACGGAATGGATACTTTATCTCTACTGGAACTCACTCTGAAGACCTGACTGCTTTGTTGTCAGAATTTTCCAAACTAAGATGTATGGCAGTGCCTCTTGATATGATTATATTCACTTTCAGGAAGAAGTGTTCAAAACCCTGCTATTGGGGGAAAGTGCAAACGTGATGCTGCTTTCTCTGAGCTAAGACAACAGAGCTCTTTGCAGTTGCAAGCAAAATAAATTCACCATGTACTGCTGTGAGTTGGGAAGCAATTAGGAATCTCTGCAGCAAATGTGAATTCAATGACCAGTCGCTTGAAAGAAGATTAATCTGACCTTTCTTTTTATTAGTATTCATGAGGTGTGGTTCCATTTTTGAAACAGTTTGGGGCTTGGAGTAAGATACTTTCTTCCTATTAACAGGCAATTGCCCACTGACTCGGTGCAATCATCCATTTCTTTTTAAAACTTGAGATATTGGAAGAAATGTCTTTATGGCTTTTGTACTTTAAAAATTCAATTAAATTCTACTTTGCACAAAGCAAATTCACTGTTCCTTCCAGGCCACATCACAGAACATTGACAGAGTAGCAGCCACGAAAAGACTTCATTGAGACTTCGTTCAGATGGGAAAAGGTACTTAATATGTGAAGTTTAGGAAAAGATATATCAGCAAAATCCACCTTTTGTGTGTGATTATTTTCTTATACTTTTCTAACAGAATTCTTTTCCAACAATCGTTTACGTATTACTCTTTCTGCATTGAAGTACCCTTCTTATAAGCATTGTTGTCAAGAGAATATTTTTTCTCCTCTTTGAATGGGGGAAAATCTCCTTTGGGTTTTTAATTGAAAAAAAAAAGCTATTTGCTTTGGTAACTCTCCATTCTTTAATTAACTGAAGAAAGGATTGTAAAGCCTGAGATCATTTCTATATTATTAGCAGCCTTGCCTTCTTGTCAGAAAATACCCACAGAGGAGGCAAAAGACAGAGTCCTAGGTTAGCATGGGTAAGCAGGAGCCTTCCAGTGATAAACTATTCTCAGGGCAGTTAAGGAAGACCTTCAGGTTGGAGATGCATAGGATATGGGGTTTGTTCATGACACCCAAAGCCTCTCCATGAAGCATGTTTACCTTCTCAATCATTCCGTGGCTGAAACTCCCCACTAACTTACCAGGAACCTCCTCACACCCAGGAACATCTGCTTTCAATTGGAGCATGCTTACAAAAGGACCACCTGCCAGCACAGGGAATGTTTTCCTTCTCCCAGTGGGGTCTTAGAGACAGGCTTTCATGTATTTAAACAGCTAAGCAAGAAACCCAGAAGAGTTAAGGCTCCCATGCTTACTGGGATATTCTTATACACAGAAAGCAAAACCAATAAGATACTAAGAGGACTGGTTTTTAAATTCCAGTTTTGCTGGTCCTTGTTCAGAACTCCGAATCCTCTTTTCTTCACAGCTCTTCATATTTCTTTTATTTATATTTATTCATTTTATTAGTGAGTAGGAGGACGCATGTGTGCCACAGTGAGCATGTGAAGGACCAAAGACCAAAAAAGAGTTAGATACCTTGTGAAGCCAGGGATCATCCTCAACTTATCAGCCAGGACTTTAATCTGCTCAGTAGTCATCTTGTTGACCTCTTTCTTCATATTCCTTTGCCCTGCATGTTTTCTGACATCACTAAAAGTTTTGATACAAAATAGAAGTATTTCTCAGTTTGAAAGCTACAACATTAAAGAAAATGAAAACCCTTCTGTAGGTGGATGAATTTGAATGTTGTTTCTCCTATAGCCATGACAGTCACCACAGACACAAGAGAATTATGAAAGCTGTTGCTGGAAGTGCAAGTGCAAACTTGTGTACACATGGAGTGAGGATATTTGAAGGGAATTTGAGCAGCAGGGAAATGCAAGAGAACCACTTGGGACTGAGAACTGCTTGCTTCTGGTTCCTGCCAAGTTCTTTCACACACTCTGCTTCTCTATGAAGTATAAATGTGCTGGGGGACTGAGAACTGGTGTCACAACCTTTCTTTTCCAGTATGAGGGGGAAAAACACTACAGGAAGAAAACTCTCATAATCTTGGATGAGATAAAAAGCAGTAGTTTAAGAGTCATGAGCATATTTTATTTTGTAACGTCAACTTTATAATCAAATGTCTAGATTGGATTCTTCCTCTATTGATAATTGGGATCCCCCCTCATTTGGTGGAAGGCTTACATTCACCTCACAAATACAAGGGACACAAATAAATAGACTCCCCCAGCAATGTTAGCCTGTGTGGGAGCCTCAGAGACCGGCCTCATGAAACATTAGGCACATTGCACAGAGATGGAAGGGATCTCAGACACTCAGCTACAGCTGACAAAACATAGGAGTCAGGTGACAAAGTGGTGACATGATCCATGATGACAGCCAAAATGCAGTTCCAAGTTAATATCACATCCACAGACTTCCACTAGCCTCAGTCCATTGTTGTTTGGTAGAGACACACTGTAGTTAGGACTCCCATGCACACTCACAATGCCCTGCATTCCACAGACCTTCCCTGCTGTGTGAGAGGATCACAATACAAAGGTTGCTTTACTATGGGACCTCTGAGCAATTCACCACTCAGGTACTAAAAGTGGACTCAATGAACTCTCAGAAAAACAAGCTGAACGTGTTAACTTGCATTACCTCACCATCAGCAGGCAAGAAGTGATGAGAGGAAATGAGTAAGGTGAGAAAACTGGTTGTCTTCACATGGTGATTTCTCATGACATACTCGTCTTGAGAATCCAAATGCTAGCAACGGATGACAATAACCTGCTTTAAAGACAGCATGAAACAGGTATTTGTAAAAGGTCACCTTGAAGAAGGTTCACAGAGCTGCATTTCAGACCCCTGAGCCATACGATCTCTGTTGCACAGCAAGGACAGTCATGATGATGCCTCAAAGGTAGGTTAGGCTACATTAAGATGACAAAAATATGAAGTAGACTGCATCTATTACCTGAGACAAATCCACATAGATTTTTGTTTTTTTAGCTCTGACATGTCTATAAGACCTGAACTGTAGGAGAATACAGTCCAGTGACTCATTCTAATAGCATTGTATAAATGGCTTTGAAAGTATTGCATTAAATTTCAGAATATACCAATATTAAGTAAATTATATATCCCATCTTCAGTCTCCTTATCTACACATACATAAGGAAACTTAATCAGGATCCATTGAGTGTTGGCTAACTTTAAATTTTGACTGCTTTCACATATACAATTAACTCTCAAGAATGGCAAATTTGCTTCAATTTCTTTGAGCACTATGTGCAGAGGGCAGGCAACTCTCTCCAATGGTTTGCTCTGAAGGACACAAGTGGGTGGTCTGAGGAAAGTCGAACGTGGTATTTTGTTAAATAAATAATAAGGTAAGTCGCATCATTCAAGTGTTTTATGTGCATTTTCTACTCCGGTCCTTATTTTATATCAGATTGCAAAATAACTAGTATCTTTTTTATATTTCAAGAAAATAGTGGAGTAAGGAAACTATATAACTTACCTACTGTCTTATTGCTAATGCAGAGCTGAGCAGAACATTTTAGATGGCATCCAGGTTTTCATTTTAAACATGTAATTCTCCTACAAAGTCTACCTTTGAATTATTTCAAAATGTGACTAAAAATGAAAGAAGAAACATGCCCAATAATGACGAACTTGTACAGATGAAAGTTGGCATTCTGTAATAGTTTCATGAGGGAGGAAAAAATGCAACATACTGATATCAAGGGTAGTAGCCCACAAAAAACTACCTACAAGTAGGCTACCTTCTAGCTTCACAAAAATACAGATTCCTTGGGGCCTTTCAGGGCTATCCACATTTACAAAGACAATCCAGTTGTGCTTTCAGGAAAAAGTGTAACGCATAGAACTGTTGATAATCATTTTAATTAGCTTCCTTCCTTCCAATTTATAAATGGACACAAGTATTTTTGTTTTTCTCTTATTAAAGGTGAAACTTTGGTCATTTTAAATAACAACCAAACAAACCCATTGTTTCTGAAAATCTGTGTTTTGGCTGGCTTAGTTTTCACTTTTTTTTCATGTTTGTCACACTCCATCTGGTTTTGTGTACTCAGTGTCTTTTCTTCTCTGCCAAGTTGTTTTTTTCCAATGTACATACATCACTCTACATCTTCAAAGTATTTTACATATGCTACATGCTGGATTTCCCCAATGCTTTCAAACGAGCTTTAAATGAGCTTTGAAATGAGCTCTTCGTGTTTTTCTCATGAGCTTCTAAAATCCTTACTACGTGGCTCTTCTTTTATTTGACTCCAAAGAAAACAAATTTCATTTACACACTGAAAGTGGCAAATCCTCATCGTGTTTTTATTGTCCCAGAGTATTCAATATTGGTTTAGCACATACTTGGTGTCAAGCAGTGTGCAGTGGATCCTGTTACCTAGACACTGGGGTGATGACTTTGAGGTACCCGTATCTCAGGGGAGAGGACACATGTGTGCCTTTTGATGAACAGTTGTGCTAAGTACAAGGTTCCCAGAACAATGAGAGTGAGAATGTAGAAAGCAGTGATGAGGGCAGCATTAGGAACTTCCTAAAAGCCCTTTCCACAACCAACTCAGTAAATACCACCAACTGGGAAACAACAAATTGTTACTGAGTTTGAGTGAAAAGCTACAAATGATTTTCAACTGCTTGGTAAGTATCCACGCTAGTTTGTGAGTACAGTATGGTGGATGGTTCTAAAATCATTTCTTATTGCCTTGCACTGTTTTGTCAGCCACAATCCTGACATGTATTTTGATGCCTCCCACTTTCATTTTGAAGTTTGCCAGAGTCTTAGCATAGGCTTAATGGTATTCTCCCATATCCATATGTTGACTTTCTAACCATCAGTACCTCAGAACATGGCTGTATTTAGAGAGTACATCATTGAAGCAGTGACTACATTAAAATTAACATTCATTTTAATGAAGTTACTGGAATGAATCATAATCAATGACTGTGCACAATGTATTCTTATAGAATATGAGAATTTGAGTGCTGATGGGTAAGAGCAGAAGCCCCTGGGAAGATGCATAGAGAAGTGCAATGTCACAGCCAAGGATCTGACAACTTATCCAGAGCTTAGCCTTTAAACTGTTAAAGCATGATAAGCAATTTATCTTGCTTTGCAGTTTTTCATGTGGTTTTCAGCATATTTATATTTATTAATTAATTTTGAATTTTTATAATACCCGCTTGCTTTTAAAGGATGAATGCTCTAAACATCAGAAGTAAGGGCATGAAATGACACTACCATGGCCACCAATGCTGTGATCTCCACCTACTCATCTTTCTACCTGTTCACCTGCAGTCCTTTGAGCAGTCCTTCATAGCCCTGAGAAGAGTAAGGGCTTATGTGCTATTTTTAAATCTTAGACAAAAATAGAGAAAATTTACATTGTTTTGGAAAACATTTATAGAAAAGTTAAAATAACAGGTATTTTTTTTACCATTTTTAAATTCATAATTGTCAATGATAATTTGTATATGTTTTGGGGCTACATTAATACTCTTGGAACATTAAAATTAGCTGCAAGTGTGTACTAGAGGTATATATAAAAGTATATATACCTCTAGAATTATAAGATCTATTTCTAACATTACTTTTATTGCCAAACATACATTGGGAAAACAAACAAACAAACCACATTGCTCTCATGTTACTCATGCCAGCCAAGTTGGCCTGAAGGTGGTGGGTTGTTGTTGTTACTCATGCCAGGCTTCCAGAGCTTCTAATCACAATAAAAACCCTTAGAGCCTGACAGCCTAGATGCAGGGGACTTTACAGGACCTGCCAATGTCTTTTTCAACTTAGAGGTGGAGGTGATGATTCAAAACTGTTAAAATATATTGCTACTTATTTTCCTCTGTGTCAATCACCTCTTCTCTGAATGATCAATTTCTGCTTTTTCTGCTTGCCTTCGTCCGGACTTCGAGCCCAGCTACTCACCCACCACCTTGCATAGCATAGGGCACTGCTTTATTAACAGGTCCTGACAAGAAACCATCATTCAAGCCATTAGCATTCACCTGGGGATAAAGGAGGATTTCTTCTTTCTGCTTAAAAACAAAAACAAAATATCAACAGTTTAAAACCTCTTCGTGAGCTACTATAGACTTCGAAAGTACACCACTTAAAATTTAGCTTTTGAAATTAGCAATATAATCTCAATTTACCTTGAAGTTTGATTTTCCTACAACCATTCAGTCTCCTCTATACTGCTGGTGTTTAATAGTTCATGCCTAACGATTATTTGTATTCTTATAAGTGTGATATTGATCACACTTTAAGTGTACACACCATTCAAAGTACTGTGGACTTTTTTCTGTTTGTTTTATTCCTGAGGGTTTTTTTTTTTAATTGTTTTCTAGTTGGTTGCTTTATGCTGTTATTTACATTAGCCCTTTCTCCCATTTTATGCCCATTGTATTTTATGTTTTTGGTGAGTCCATATACTAAAAGCATAGATTGTTTGTCTTCAGATAGATACCTGTAAACCATACATTTTCTTCTCAATCCACAAGTTTTGCCCTATACCCTTTTCATTTGGTATTCAGCTCCAGTTTATGGGCTCTACTGATACTTGCTTTAATTTAGCAATCATTTGCAGTATGTGTACATGTATGGTTAATTTTCTTGTAAGTGAGATAGTTTGCTGTTAGAATTTCTTGTAATTGTTGATGAATAAGTAAATGTAGCCTGTATACTTCAACCTTTTGGAATTTGCTGACATTTTTTTTTCTGTGTTCTAGTGCATGGTAAAATTTTATGACTGTTACTTTTGTATACTGTATACTTCAACCTTTTGGAATTTGCTGACATTTTTTTTTTCTGTGTTCTAGTGCATGGTAAAATTTTATGACTGTTACTTTTCTCCTTGAAATTGGTATGTAGCTGTGTGTGTATGGTACAGAATTCTTGGTAGAGGTCAAGTGCATTACACAGCTCTTTCGTGCTCCTCCCTAGTAGTTGGTGGTTTCTTGGTTGGCCTCTGAGAGAGGTATGTCTGTCTTCTCACCATCACTAGGAACTTGCATGCTGTGTTCTGTAAGGCCTTTAGTATTTGCTCTGCACGATCCCTTTGTGGTGGCCCAGTTCACCAGCTTATTGGTTGTACTGCTGTCTACTTCTGAAAGCATGAAGTCACAGTAGGATCCTACAAGGAAGTTTCCTCATACACATTCTGCATTTATTATCTATTGGAGTCCTATTACTTATAATACTACCATCTAATAATTCTGGTGCTGGTTTGGAAGCCCTCTCCAACTTCTATGAGAACTTGATGGGGAAGGTAGAGTAAAGTCTGTATGGTGTTCATTTCAAGATTAAACCTGAGTCATGTTGCCTCTTCTCTTCCACTTCCTGGCCTCCCTTCCGATAATGCCCCTATTCTGACTTAAGCCCCATTAAACTTGTTTCAATTTCTCAACAAAGCTCTTCCTCCCATGGAAGTTTCATACATCAGTTGTTTTTGACCTAGAACTCCATTTTTCTTCTTAAATTATCTTTTGCACTCAATCTTTAACATATTTCACTGAATTCAATTTATCAGACTATGTAAGCATATTGCAAGAATTGATGACAATGTATAAATATATTTCTTTCCTTATTAAGGCGGGGTAGATGGGTTCTATTTAATATGTTCCTCAGTCCAGTTCTGGGGTACATTAAGACGACAGTACAAGTCACTTTGAATCATTCAATTATTACACATAAACTTGAAAGAAACATTTGGATAATTCAGGGAACATCTGGGGATGACTTGTGAAATATGTAACTCAGCTCATAGAACACTTGGGCTTTGTGAAAACAGTCCAATTGTTATATTTTCCTGACTCTGCCAGACACAAATGGGCAAGATCCATATTTCCTTTAAGACTTTTCTTCTCCTGCATAATAATCTAAATGTGCCTTAGGTGGAGATTGGGTGTGTCTTTGTGTGTGTGTGTGTGTGTGTGTGTGTGTGGTATATATGGAACAGAGAGATTGAGATAGAGATAATCAGGGAAGATAGATAGATAGATAGATAGATAGATAGATAGATAGATAGATTCTATCATCCTTAGAGGGGTTTGTTTACTTAGTTTCTGTGACTGGATATTACAACAAAAATGGAGAGAAAAATTTTAAACATTTTTATTCACTCCACCCTCACTACAATGTTATTTTTATTTAGCCAGTTTTTAATAAGTGGTTTTGCAATCAAAGCAAAAAATGAAACAAAAAAAACAAACCTTGAATCTACTAGATTATAAATGTGTAGAAAAAACGAGTAGTATGTAGTGTGTCTATATGGCTTATTGCTGAATGAAGGGGTCTTAAGTGGTAAATGCATGAAATAATGCATGAATAGAGGCAGTACTGGATTAAAATGTTTTCAAAATTTCATGTAATTAAACAACAGCTTCCATGACTATAACAATATATATTGAAAAAGCTCACAATGTGAGTTAATAATTGCCTTGAGTACAAAAATTGTTCTCACAGTGAGTTAAGATGACTTCTGTTTTGTTTCCCCAAATTATGTATTTAGTTAGCCATTTCTGCTTTCATTCATCTTAGAAATGCTCATTCTCAATGTAAAAAGAGCGGTGCACACGTTACAAAGGTATGTTGGGAACAAAGATGGGTGCAAGACTGTCAGTTAAAATCAAATCTCTGGAGAAGTATCATTTTCCCAGCTGAATTATATTTTATGAAAATATAAACCATTCAGACAAAATTGTCCCAAATTTTATTTATATAAACTCAGGGGAAAAAATGTTTACCTGTTCTTGCTTGCCTTATTGGCAAAAATAATATTTAAGAAGATCCAATAAGGTTAATTAGAAAAGAAATTTAGTTTTACAAAGGATCTAGGTAGGATGACTCACATCTGCAGTTTCAGCACTTGGAGTCTGAGGCAGGGGTATTGCCATGAATTGGAGACCATCCTGGACTACACTGTGAGACTCAGATTTCAAACAAACATACAAATAAAAAAAATTCATTATGCAAAGGCACATAACAAAGAAAAATTTCAAAATGAATAGGAAGAAAAAGAAGTTAATGCCATTTTTTTTTGTTTGTTTTTTTTAAGCATGAGAATGTACATGGGGTTTTATAAATGTTTAATGTGATTGCTCTGTGACACTATTCCAGAGGACACATGAACACTCCAGATAGGAAACTGATAACAGACCAAAATAAGACACTACCCAAATCCAACTTGGTGAGCCAATGTGTTTTGCTGGAATGACTTACAGGAACATGACAGGCATGACTGACGGGTTACTTTCAGGAACGGAAATAACTCAGAGACAGCCCACCCAGCATGGGTGACAGCTCATGAACACTTCATTGTAGGCTAGAGTGTTTCACCTCCCTTAAGACATCCTATTCTTAATCAGTTTTATCTCAGAAGAAATTCCTACCCGATAACTAGTGCCATTCTTTCATAGTAATGTGGGAGGGAACTAGGGAAAACACTAGAAAAGAAAAATAAACAAAGGACAAAAAATTTAGTGAAAATTAGTTGTTTTCTGTAGTAAAAACAGGATTACAAAAACAAAGAAACCAACCCATTTCTGTCTAATTCTAGTTTAAATATTGTACAAACCCATTCTGACTGCCTTGAAACTTTGGTTTTGCTTTATCAGCTCTTTAATATTAACTACAAAGATTATTAATAACTAAAGCCCTAGTGTGAGTTACTACAAATGTCTGTGAGCATGTTCAAGCAAAATTCATTAGGTCTTATATTCAAAAAAAGACTTGGTATTACATAGAGAAACACCTACTGTGCTGTCCAACCTGGGACCCATAGGCCACATGAATCCCTGGATAGTTATGAACGTGGCCTGTGGTGGTTTGAAGGAAAATGGCCTACATATGCTCATAGGGAGTGGCATTGTTAAGAGATGTGGCCTTGTTAGAGGAAGTGTGTCACTGGGGGTGGTCCTTGAGGTTTTCATATGCTCAAGCCAGGCCCAGTGTCACTCTGCTGCCTGCTGGCCCAGCATCATGTCTGTCTGTGCACCACTTTGTTTTCTGCCATGATGACAATGGACTAAACCTTTTAACTGTAAGCCAGCCACAATCAAATGCTTTTCTTTATAAGAGTTGCCATGGCAATGGCATCTCTTCACCACAAAAAGTAAGACCATGGGCCAACACATTTGAGGATGACCATATCATGTCATATTGAGAGTTTATTTTTTAAAAAATGGTCACAGGGGAGAAAGTCTCTTGTTGCTGCTTAGAGCTTTCCACAGACATGGTTGGGAGTCCATTGATTCTGAACTGCAACTGGTATGGAATGGGGGAAATCGGATGTCAAGTAGTATAGACCTACTCCTTTCTACAGTTAACAAACATTTAAAAGACCAAGTTATTAGCTCAAAAAAAGGTTCCTCAACTGCAGTTTTGAGTCCTTGAACACACATAACGAGAATGTCCCATGATCATATAATATTACAATAATATTCAGTAAAAGTGTACAGATCTAGAACAAAATGCACTTTTGGAAAAGAAAAAAAAACATACATTAGTGCCATCTTGGCAGTATCATAATTTGAATCCTAAGAACCACCAATATGCAGTGACTATTCTTATGTGTTCCAGCACCCAGATTCTTAGACAGCATTATTCTGCTTATGTCTGTGATGGTGATTTTGGATGTGATTAACATTTAAATAAGTAGACTTTAAGTACAAATAGATTCCCTTTCACAGGGTAACTGGCATCAGCTACACAGCTGAAATACAACTGGATTGAATATCCTAAGAAGCTGAGTTCTCCCAAGCGACAAGGAGTTTTCAGTAGACTGCCTTTGCACTTTGTCAGCGACACTGACTCTCCTGGCACTACAACACATTGCCTCTATCTTTGGACAACTCAGCTTCAGCTCTGTCCTGTCTCTGGCCTGTACACCATCCCTTTGTCTTCCTAATTTAACTTGTGGAGACTACAATCATTTCTGCCAGTTTCTTAACATGCCCCCACTCACACACTCAGCCACATTGTTGGTTTAATTTGTCTAGACCACAGATTCTGACTAGTATTATAGCAACATGATTCCAGCATTTGAGGACTACTTTGTCATTGCTCTGAACTCACACATAAAAAGTCCAATTGAATTTTAAACCTGTGTGCCCTTACCATCATATATTTTGTGATGGTTTTATCAATAAAAACATAGTATATACCAGTATACTTAAAGGTTCCTCTAATTATAGGCCATTTACATGCTTCAAGTTATTCCAATTCAGTTTAATACTGTGAAAGGAATTTTCATTAATACAGAGTGATTAATAAACCTCAGCTGTATGCTAATACAAAGTCCTGAGATGAAACTTTCTTGTCTGATGTCTTTTGTGATTTCAGAGATATATTAATTAAAATCCTTTCAGAAAATGATATTTCACATCAAACATAAATCCTATAAAAGCTGCATTAACATTTTTGAAGTTTATACAAGTTAAATTATTTTGTCTGCTCCATAACATATTGTTTTATTTTAATTTTTTAACTATTATATATAATATACAATATATATATATACACAATTTTTAGGAGTCAAGATCAAAATGGACCCCGTAAACTATTCTAACCTATCAGTTATCATTGTCCACTTAAAACCATTAGTATCACAACACAACATGAAAAATGTTAGAACTATAATAATGAACAAACTAGACATTTTTTTATATAGATAGTAACAGTCTACCAAATAAAAATCAAAAGAACAGAGAGGTTTTGTATAATTCTTCTCACCACACAATATATGAGTGACAATGGAGTTTCATGCCTGCAGACACTATATGTGTATTTAAGACTTAATGAAGTTTCAAGGTACAACCACTTAATTACAATGAACATGAAGATGCTATACTAGGTCTGAAGACCACTCTGAAGGTTGAGACAATATTTGAAGTTTGAATCAGAGAAAAGTCAGTACAATGGAAAGATGAGGAAAGGGTTGGGATGTTTATGACTTTGAATCAATGGGATTTTTAATTGATTGGCCAGATGTGAAGAGTGATGCCCACAGGGGGAGGATAAAGTGTTCTGATGAGAAAACTATGTTGTCAACAGTCCTAATGAGGAGCTCTGTGTTGCCCAAGGCTCTGGGATAGGATGACATTCACCCTCATCCTTGCTTCCATTTCTACCATGTGGTAGAATGCAAGTCTCGACTCCAATAGACAAAAAAGCACAAGAAAACACCAGACTTGAAAATATTTTTTCCTTTCACTAAAAGATATTGAGAAAACCTTTTGTCTCCAGCAAAGTTTCCCATATTCCAGGGATTCTGGTCCAGGCAACAGGGCCATTCTTTAAGATGAACCTGAGAGACCCACTGGACTCTTGGAAGATGCATTTCCTCTTCAGAAATGACAGATTTATCATCCAGTGAAGAAGGAGAAAAAGAGCAATTGAGACTGAGAGACTCAGGGGAAAAACTAGATTCATCCCTTATTTTATGGGCAGAAGAATCACAGCATACAGCTAAGATAACACATTTGGGAATTGGGGTCAGATACAGGGAAATGGAAAGAAAGTTACAAGAAACATAAATATGAACAAATGTGTAAGTCAGGTCAGTTTTTATCTGAACAATTACAATATTTCATCAGAATTAAACACCGTAAATTTTAAGGCATAAAATATTGACAGTCAACTAGATTCTCACAAAGCACATAGACCCACCACTCTAATTTGGCATATCCCCATCTCAGATGTTAAACATCTAAAATATAGAGACATATAAATGTCAATGAACTCTGATAGCAGTTTCTAACTAAAATTATAGCATTTCTGCATTTCTTTAAAAGTTAATTGCATTTATTTATTTATTTATTTATTTATTTATTTATCCATCCAGCCATATCCTACCATTATTTAGGTAGGTATGTATGTGTATATGTATGAACCACTCCAAGTGTGTGGAAGTCAGAGGACAACTTGAGGAAGACGCTTTTCTCACCATTTACCATGTAGGTCCCGGAGAATCAAACTTTACATGAGCAACCATCTTGTCAGCCTCTACCCTTACATTTAAAAGTCAAGCAATGTTGAAGCACTAAGATAGATGCTCCATCAGAAATTTTATTTAACTCAAGCCTTTGGATATCTCATTTTCCCTGTGTTGTTAAAGAGCAACATGGATTGCTTGCCATTCTGGGCTCACTTGAAATTTTGGTTACAAGAAAAGCTTGCAATCATCCACAGTTAGTTCCTTGCATTCAATGACTATAAACTTTTACATTTTTGGAAAGAGTCACAAACCACAGAACTTCTGCCTTCTGCTTTATTTCAAAGCTTCCAGCATTGGTTGTGACAAGTCTAAGTAACACTTAGAAGCACTCAGATTACACAAAATAATCACTTTTATTTTGTAAGCGTCCCTTAGATGTGAGTCATTAGATGAGTTTCTTGTTCTAAGTAAATTTACTACACTATTATTAACTAATAAAATGTAAAGCCAAAGATGAATAATGAGAGCACATGCTCTAAATTAGAAGGAAGAAATAAGATGGTTTGCTATGTGGAAAATTGCATGAACATGTGACCGTTATATTGTCTTTCCACTTCCCTCCATGTTCTGTCTTGCATGGGCATAAGTAGAAGTGCAGTGCTAGAGCCTTCCTTTTTATAATGATGTATGACAACCTTCTAAGGAGCACTGGCATTATAGAGTACGCATTCTGCTTACATTGCCAGGTTGCTTGGCGTCTTCTCTCAATGTGATTCATATGGTTGAGCAAAGCATATTTCAGATTTGTCCTAGGATATTTCTTATGATTTGCTCAGTGCATCCTGCTTATGGTGGCCTTTGGGGTATAAGACTGGAATGTATACACTTTCTTATAGTAAAGGCTATGTGGGCTTTGGGGAACAGAAATCTCATTGTAGTTTTGTACCCAGAAATCTGTACATAGCATCAGAAAAGAATAAAAGGGTCTAAGATGGCTTTAGAAGATTCCATGCTCTTGGAAATTATATGTGTGTGTGTGTGTGTGTGTGTGTGTGTGTGTGTGTGTGTGTGTTAAAGGTTATATAGGATATATATAAATGATATAATATATATATACACACACACATATATATATATATATATATATATATTTGCATAATGTAAACAAAACAAAGCAAAAGAAAGTAGAATGACTTCTGGAGAAATCCTTTTAGCTTCAAGTCTCATAAATTCTCTTCCATTAAAGTTCTCAAGAACCTTAAATTTTTTAGCTCAGAGATATAATAAAGATTAAATATTTAAGGTCTACCACTGCATTTCATTTAGCCTTCTCTAGACTTTTGTGAATACAAATGAGATATTATTCAAGATGGTTGGTCACAAGTCTTCAGAAGTTTATGGAAATCTAGAAAACATCAAATGATATTGGGCACAGCATTTTTTTCCATGACTATAATAAAACATTTCTCCTTTCAGTTTCATGTGAAAGATAAATATTACTTTCTTGGAAAAAGAACTATTAGACCAAAAAGAAGGGAGCACAGTGCTACAGTTTGATGATTGTCTACTTGAAACCTTTTTGTTTTGCATAGGCAAAGTACAGTAACTACAAAGGCTATCAAAATGATTGATCACTGAAAGTCTTAACCAAAAGGCCAGGGGTAGTTATTGTATCAGGACACACACACACACACACACACACACACACACACACACACACACACACACACACACACACACACGTGAAAAAAGAGAGAGACAAGAGACAGAGACAGATACAGAGACAGAGAGAAAGAGACAAGGAGAGACAGAGACAGAGAGAGATAGAAAGAGATGACAGAGGGCTATTTCACTGTAACTAGAGATGGCTACTTTGTTCGGTCAGCACCACTGGGATGATCCTACTGTTGAGGAATGGTAGCATATTTCTTCTTTCTTTTTCCACCTGAAGGAAAACTAAGACATGATTCCCATAATTTTACAATAATATGAAAGTACAGGAGAAGTATCTTCAAAATAGGGTATGCTCCCATGTCATGATTTATCTTTCCTTATCCCTTGGTTTCTTATAAGCATATGTATTTATGGAAAATAAATCTTTTAAGCCATATTTACTTTTTATTCTAAACAATTGAGATCAATTTCTAAGCTTCAGTGCTTAAGTTTTTAATGTTAACTAATGAATCATATGCCTCATGAGTAAACCCTTAAAGAGTATATATGTACTTACATTTCGGCATATGTTTGTATCTGCAAGTATGTGCCTATGTTTCTGTATTTTCAGACTATAAAGAATTTTAACAGCACCCTGTACCAGTTCCTCTACAGTCTAATCCTCATCTTTTTACTGGAAGTCTTTTAAACAACAGCATATTTCTGTCTCACTGGTTAACTAAATTTTCAACATGCCACAGTGTCCTGGAGAGAGTGAGACGTTGTCAATTTACTAATGTAGTGTATTTACTAAGCTCAAAAGACTAGAGCAGGCCACAAGGAATGCAGTTACTGTGGATGGGGTGGAGGCCTCTCCTTTTGGATGGGGAAAGGTTCTGATTGTTGCTATTGGTGTAGCATATGGTCTGGCTTACTTCACCAGAAGCCATGCTGCAAACTAGAATTGTTCATACACACATGCATACATACATACATACATGCATACATACATACATACATACACACATACATACACATACATGCACATACACACTCACATAAGAATCAAGCTTCAACCCTCAAGGAATGAATAAATGAAGATCAAAGGAAAGAGGGCGTGGACCCCGGGGGTGGGGGGGCTGTGGGAAGAAGAAAAGTATGCTGAGGAATAGGGCAGTGTCCCAAAGTTCTCACCAGCAAGCTGAAGCAGAGTTTCACTGAATTTTTAGGTTCCTGGCTGTTGGCGGTCTTTGTTAGCTTCAGCTTCACCTAAGAGTAGACCATAAGAGAGCTGATTACTGGCAGAACTGATTAGAATTCTTTTAAAGTGATGGGATTCGAGAACTAACTGGTACATTTTATAGCACTTTCACATTCATAAGTCAAAATCTCATGACTCATTCTGTATCTTTTTTGAAGCCCAGGGGCCTTTGCTAAATAGCAGTATTTGAATATGATTCACTCTCGACATTTGAGGACATTCTAGAAAACACTAATGGAACATTCCAATCTAATACCATACATCTCTGATACTACCTAAAGTTGGTTTTATGAAGATGTAAGCTAACTGTCATGTATATCCACATATGTATATGTGGATTAAAACCTGGGCATTGGACAAGTTTAAACTATGTCTTCAGTAGGTTATTGAGCTCTGTGTGTGTGTGTGTGTGTGTATGCATTTTCACACATGAGTGTATACAGTATTTATTTGGATATTTTAATTAATCCTAAGAAGGGGATATTTGTGTATGCATTTTCACACATGAGTGTTTATACAGTATTTATTTGGATATTTTAATTAATCCTAAGAAGGGGATATTTTTGAAGGAAACTTGGGCTACCAAGGGAAAAGACACATTTTCTATTTTATGTAAATGCCAGCACAATAGCTTTCTAGTTTTCAAAAGTGGCCGGGTGCTGAGCACAGGTTGTTGCCATGTTTGCATCTTGTATGTGGCAATTATAGAGAGGAAAACTGAACTTCACTTAGGAAGGCTGAGCCACAGTCTCCTTCTGGTTCATCTTGGTAATCGGTTGAGTGTTGTTATATCATACCATATTACTTCTCTTTTCTTATACTCAAGTGACTTAAATGATACTCTGAATACAGGATAGTTATAACCACATTCTTCTCAGCCACCCACCACAGAGCCCACTAGACACTCAGGCTCAAAGACAGTGCTCCGGAGCTCTCTACTCAAGGAGCTCATGAAGGAGTATAGACTACGATGGAAATCAAGACAGTGGCATGGACATAGGACAACACAGCACCTTTAGCCCCATGTGAAATACATACTAGACCTGAAACTAGAAAAAGAAATCTTCACTAATTTTGTTAAAATAATTCTGTTAATTTTGTCAATGTTGTATAATACTGAATATGTACATAGGTAATAAATGAAGGAAGCAAAAGTGAAATTACAGCAACAACAAACCTTCAGAGACACAAATGAGCATTACATTTTGATGATTTTTTTTTGAGACAGGTCATATAGTGTAGCCTCGCTGGACTAGAACTCATTATATAGAAAAGAATGGTCTTTTAATAACAGAAGCACATGTGCCTCTGCCTCTCAAGCACTGGAATTAAAGACATGTGCCATCATGCCTAGTGGATCAAATTCTTAAATAGGCAATTTATAAACATCAGCTTAAAGTCATTTAGTGCATACGTATAGAGAAAAATAAAGACTCATTTCAAGGGGATGGACAGAATGAGCAACAGTTAAGAGCACTGGCAGAGAACCTGCATTCTATTCCTAGTATCCACAGGGTGGCTACAACCATTTGTAACTCTAGTCAAGGAAATCCAAGGCCCTCTGCTAGCTTCTGTAAATACCAGACATGCACATGGTACACAGACATATGTTCAGGAAAATACTCATGTATATAAGTTAAAAATGTAAGACATTTAAAAACTTTTCAAATATATATTAATGGAGAAAAATATGTAACAAGTGATGAGTTTGAATAAATTTTACCTGGAGATTTTTTTAAAAAGGTTTTTGCAAGTGTTTGGAAGAATGATTTTGACAAGTGAGATAGGTAAGGGAAAACTTTTGAGATTAATTACACATTTGCTAAACAACTAATGTTGGTGAGCTATGTGATGTATCTGTAAATGACTGAAAAATTGCTTAGTTTTTATATTTTAAGCTTCTATCAACATTTTTCTAGAATAATGCTTTCAAGAACCATTTAGTAGTAGAATTAAAACACGCACTTTCTGGGTTCTTCTCAGAGTCTCGGTGATTTGGAGCTGGCGATCCCAGGTCTCAGGTCAGGTTGCCTTGAGATACATCTGTGAGCTCAAGGAGAATCTGAAGCACTCTGTGCCTGGAGAGCACAACATTTGATGTCCCATACCTGCAGATCCATCCCTCACAGTTACACTTCCTGTTCACATTTAAGCACATCGTGAGGAATGTGGACAGACATTCTACTTTGATCATTTCTCAGTGACAATCGCACAAAACAATGATTTGCATTCCCCCCAAGGCTAATTATCATTCCTTCAGCTAGTAAATAGGATATTTTAAATGTCTAGCTTACACCAGTGGTTCTCAACTTGTAGGTCGTGATCCCTTTGGGGATCTAATGACCCTTTCACAGGGGTCCACTAAGACCTAAGAACTCATATGTTTACACTATGATTCATAACAGCAAAATTACAGTTGTGAAGTAGTAATGGAAGTAATTTTATGGTTGGGGTTACCACGACATGAAGAACTGTAGTAAAGGGTCTCAGCATTAGGAGGGTTGAGAATTACTGTCGTACACTGTTTTACTTCTTCATAAGCAAATAAATTCCTTTCTCAGTCAGCTTTAGAATACTCTAATTATTTCTATCAAGTAGAAAAACTGCAAACATTTCTTCTATATAGCCCTGTGTTAAAAACAGGAAAGATTGCTGTGAGAGCCTAATCTATTTAGCATTAGAACAAGTCCACCAGAGGACAACAGTCATGGTGTATGAAATAATAGACTGCACCAAAGAGAAATTTAAATTCTAAACTGTCTCTTTTAGAATTTAAACCATGATTACAATAAATGACTTAAGTGTTCAGCCACTTTTAGAAATTATAGATTTGCAAGAAGGTGTGTAAGTGATATAGAAAAGCAGGATGTATTTTCCACACACTTTCATCCAGTCATATCTCACACAAGAGTAGTCCAGAAGCAAAATTAGAAATATTGAAATTGGCATTGGTAGAATATATATGTGTGTGTGTGAGAGTGTGTGTGTGTGTGTGTGTGTGTGTGTGTGTGTGTGTGTGTTGTGTGTGTGTGTGTGTATGTGTGTATATTGTGTTACATTTATCACCTGGGTATATTCATAGAATGACCATGTCACTCAAGATTTTGGACTATGCTATTACCACTGAGATTTCTTTTCACTTTTTTTAGGTGTACAGCTTTATATGCAAATTTTTGTTGATATATATATATATATATATATATATATATATATAATTAAATCAGGGTACATAGCATATGCATTAACTCAGACATACTATTTCTTTTTTATTCTTTTTTATTCTTTAATTACTACTCATATTTACATATCCATCCCCCCATTCCATTGCCTTCCCATCCTCCTATGTTCGCTATCAACCCTCACAACATACCCCCTAACTCCTCCCCAGGGATAGTGAGATCCTCCACGGGGGACCTTCAAAGTCCATCCTATCATTTGGGAGAGGGCCTAGGCCCTCCTTGCTGTATCTGGGCTGCAATAGTATCACTCCTTAGGGAATGGGCTCCCAAAGTCCATTTGTGCTCTAGGGATATAGACTGGCTCCACTGTTAGAGGTCCCATAGATTGTCCAGGCCTCCTAGCTGGCACCCGCATTCAGAGGGCTTAATTTGGTCCCATGCTGTTTCGACAGCTTTATGACTAGGATCTCCATGCTATCAGTAGGTCAGGTCCACTGTTTCTGCGGGTTTCTGCAGCCGCGTCTTGGTTCCTTTGCTCAACCCTCCTCCCTCTCCACAACTTGATTCCAGTAGTATAGTTCAGTGCTTAGCTGTGGGTGCCTGCTTCTGCTTCGAACAGCTACTGGATGAAGGCTCTAGGAATAGTAACCAAGGTAGGCGTCAATCTCATAGGGGAAGGACATCAATGGCATCCTCTCCACCACTGCCTAGATTCTTAGTTGGGTTCATCCCTGTGGATCCCCTAACATCTCCCCTGTGCCAGACCTCTCTCCAAACCTGCACTGTCTCCCTCTGTCAAGGCATCTCCTTTCTTGCCCTCCTCTATTCCTCCCCTGTCTCAGTCCTCTTGTTCTCCTCCCCCCCTCCCCTTCTTCCCTTCCCACCTCCTTCCTCTTCCCCCCACTTTAGTCAGGGATTCTTGTCCCCATCCCCTTCTTTGAGAGACTATGCAATCTCAGTCACTTTACAATGTGGAATGTATGCTAATGGCTATGATACGAAATAGCTTAGAATACAGAATGTGAGATGTTTTCTCTTCTATCGCACTGCACCTCTGTACCTATTCATTACTTTGTTTCCAGCCATCCACCCCACCATTCCCAGGCTTTCATAATTACTATTCTATTCTCTACTTTTAACTGATAACTTTAGTTAATATATGAAGATGTTAGCAAGCAGTATTTGTCTTCCTGTTTTTGTCTCCCCCTCTCCCTTTGGTACTGTGAACTGAACCCAGTGCCTCAGGCATACAAGGCATGGGCTGTACTGCCAAGCTACATACAGCCCAGTATTTGTTTTTCTATACTGCATTACTTTTCTTAGAATAATGTCCTCTAATTCTCTCCCCTCTTGCCTCCCTTTTATATCACTGCCACATGACAATGCCCACCCCCACCACCATCTGTAACCTCTTATAACCACTAATTCATTCTCCGTCTCTGTAATTTTGTCAACTCAAGAACGTTAAGTGGAATCATACAGCATGTGACCTTTAGAAATTGCTTCTCTTCCCCGCACAGCATGACACTCTTCCAGATTATCTGAGGCATCACATCACATCACATCACATAGCAGTGTTAGTGCTGGCCCATATGCTAAGTGTATGTTAGTTTTCAAGACACACTGCCCTAGTAGCCACACACACATACACACACACACACACACACACACACACACACACACACACAGGTTGGAGATATGACTCAAAAGTTAAGAGCGCATGTTGCTCTTCAGAGGATCCAGGTTCAATCTTCAGCACACACATAACTAATAAATAAAATTTAAAAAATTCTTATAGAAAAATAAGAATCAGATGAAAAGAGACAGTAAATATTTGTAATCAACATTTTGTACTCTGTAGTAATAAATTATTTTTGTTCATTTTGATCAATCAGTTTCTCTGAAAAATTAGATAT